CTTTCAAATTTGAGAGTTCTAATACCTGTGAATCGCTGAAAGTATCTCTTCCTTTCCAAACTACATTTTATTTTGAAGAGACATTATTCATATAATTCAAAAGACGGTTGCAAAATGCCCACTTTCCACTCTGTCCCACCTGCTTTCTTCTTAAATAGCAGAGGTTTCTAACAAGAAATGCAATATCCAGGTCTAATTACAGCCTCAAATAATTTTTACTTGCTACTGAAATTATTTGTACATTGCAAATAGATTAACATTACAACTGGTTAATATTAAATTTTTGTTAAAACAAACTTGTTCTATTGGAGAAAGATTGAATTTTAAAAGGAGTCCTGAAATTGCGTATCGAAAACTTAGAAACAACTTTAAAATGTTTTCAATCATTTCTTCTAATTTGAAGCTATTTGTGCTATATTTTTTGCTCATGTCCTCTGAACTACCTAAGGATAAAGTTTAATCATATTCAATGTATGGCACTGTATCTTAGCATGCCACTCCAGGGAATACTTGTTGGGAGTCCTGGTTACTTATTTCTTTCCCCTTCTTTTTTCTAGTTACTTATTAGTGAGCAAAACACAGAACTTATACTACTCTCAGGATGTTAGCCTCAAGATGGAATGTTGTTTTTGGTATTTGTGTATGTTTAATTAAGCAAAAATGAAAATTATTTCAAAATTTAATCAGCTTCACTGTACTTAGCAGCATTTGTTTCATGACCATATTCATGATTTGCAGGAAGCTGGACCAAAATGACTAGGTGTCATGGTAAGTTCCTAATTGTTTACTCTCCATCTGTGACAGACAGCACCTAATTTGTCTACAACAGGTGCCAGGATAGAAGAGAGCTGAAGAGAACTGAACCATTTTGAGCTGCCAAGGTCAAAGTCTTGTTGGACTTGCTCCATGTGTGTGCCTGTCTCCCCCTCCCCCTTTTACTGTTTAGTGCAATATAAGAACCTTTATGCCTCATGCCCTTAGAAACAGCGACTTACTCTTCATAAACTTGACTTGTCTTAGGATGCAGTTAACATAGTGGACTCTGCATTTGGCCTACACCTTAGCTACGTCACTTTTACTTGTTATTTCATCAAACTCAAGCACTTAACCTCATTTATGCCCAGTTTCTTTACCTGCAAAATGAGAATAAAAACAATGGAAGTGAAATGTTCTGAGGAGCAACTAAGATAATGTGAGCATACTTCAATATGTTTATGGAAAAGTAGGCTTAATGGATAGGTTTATCTTGGTGCAAAAATTTTTGAAATCTACAAATACTTTCCCCATAATATATTTTTTTCATGAATGCTTTGAGGAGCTATCATATGCCTGAATTGCAAAACTTCTTGGACTAAAATAAGTTTATTTGAACTGCACTTTCTGTGAGTTTTTTGTAGTATGTCTTTAGAGAAACAGTGTAAATGAAAACTGTAGAGCTTTCAAATTCTTTCATAGTGGATGACCTCACTTGATTTTCCCAGTTCTTTTAAGTGAAACTAGGTTTAGATAAGCCATGTTATAAATAAAGGGGGAAATGTATAGATTACCACAAATAATCATAATTATTTGTCTCCATTGACTACCTATCAGTAAATATGTTTGCAAATACTAGATTTCTACTTCAGCACTTAAAAGGTTTAATCCTTCACATTTGTTGCTTTCATACTTATTTCAGATAGAGTTTCTGTCAATGCATTTTTGTTATTACTACCATTTGTAGTATTGCCCACGGTATTTAATCAGACTTGACCAAGTGGTGAATACAGTGAGAATAGGAACTGAAGCAGCACAATGAGATACACAACTGAAAGCTGTAACACCTCACAGCAATTCTGACATATGTGCTGGTTAACACATGCATCATGCAAAAAAGAAATTCACATACACACTGAAGATTTTAAAAATCTAAGCACAGCTCATTCTTTGTTTTTAATATTTCATTTGGTTATACCTTTGGGCAATTAGTATTAATTTTTGTGTTTACATCTAGCATCAAACTCATTGGGGTTTTAATTCCATCTGTTGGGATTCTGTCGGGCAGTGTTTTTTCAGTCTGGGCATGTTGTCAGATCAGTCTGTGGAGACAAAGAACACTCACAACCACCAAGGACAGTAACTTGAATGTTCAAATATCAGCTGTACTTTGTGTTTGAAAAGGGCCCTCTTAGGATATGTGAGGAAAGGACAGTAGACAAACATTCTCTGAGAGAATATAAAAAATTTTGTTGGAACAACTTGCGGAAATATTCTAAACCAGTAACCAAAAAGCTAGAAAATCAGATTGGAAAAATAATTAAGAAGCTGATCAAACTAATTTATGATATTGTTCACAGTATATGTAGAGTCAATTGTGTGACTATTCAGTGTGGTATACTGTAAGATGGAACACAGATATTAATTTGGCAGTTGTTATATTCCACACAAGCATAGATGTATTTAAAGTCCAGCATGACTCCAAGTCTAAAGGATAGCAAGATTTCTGATGTTAGATGATTTGTGAAAGAAACCTTACAATCAGTTCAATTTTGTTCTTTATTGGGCTTTCAGAAAGTTAATAAGCACATAAAGAACTCTATTAATTTCATTAAAGTTCATTTTCTTTGCATGAAAATAGTTTAACTTATATGAGGTGATTTATCTAGAAACATCATTAGGTGATATTAAGCATCATAGTTTGCAGTGTTTCAATGCATATTTTTATTAGCACTGTTACCCACTGGGAAGAAATTAAAATTTTTGAAAGTCTCAAGTTGTACCACATTTTTTGGTTGTGCATTGATTTTACATTGATGAATGAGAATCATTTAGGCCATTTAATTTCCTTTATAAAAATATGTTAGTTTCAATTTTTTTTCTGTTAGGAATAGTCCTTCTGGATGATTGTAATTACTTTTGTTTTTTCAAGAATCGTTCAACTCCGCTTTTGATTGATGTCCATTTCCAGAATTGACCACTTCTGTTGTTCTCCCATGAAATAGTGCAGGTAGGGCACAGCCAACCCTACAGAGGCTCTTCTGGAGGATTTCCTTCCTTTGCTTACTCATACTAGTTCATACTCTGTTAATCCTTGATACAAGAGAAGGATAAAGCTATTTTCAAGAGTTGAAGAAAGCACCACTTCTATGCAGTCTACGACTAAGTAACTGCCTATTCCTGTTTTTAAAAAGTTCTCTTTCATCTTTTCTAGGAGACTTCTCACCTGTCAAATTAAATTTTTATTTATTTACTTATATAGTTCTGTGGGGGAGAAAAATTAATTCCTGTTTTCATTAATGGTATACTTTTTCTTTGTAAATGAAGAAGACATATTGTTTGCAATAAAAAGACATGATATTTTCTTATAAATCACCACAAATATTCAGACAGGAGTATCTCTGACACTTATTCATATCTCCAATGTTACTTTAGTGATTTAAAAAGTAGGAACAGTCAGAATTATTGAAGCAACAATCATCACACTTGTTCAGTAATATAGTCAGTATCTGTGTATAAAGTTACATCAGCCAGGTTTGCTGGGGATGAAGTATTTTTTTTTATATAAACTGTATACATACAATCCTTAAGGTGGAGAAACACTTATTTAAAGATCTGACGTGTGTTTCAAAGATAACTTTATATAACAACAAGCTAAAGATTAAAGATTTCTGATAATCTATTTCTATTTAGAAATGTGAAGTTTGATATTTAACTGAAATACTATATATTATAAATATTTTCTGTATACTTTTATTATGTATGTAAGGATGATCTAATTCAACTTAACAGGTATTTTAAAAACCCTTGATTATGCTAATTTAGTCTAGTAATTTCCATTATCTAAAGGTGATATGATTCAGCTAGTATTTTAGGAATATTTCAAAAAATGCATGATGATAGCAAAATAGCCAATTTTATAGGCTATTTAAAAGGTTCATAGTTGAAAGTAATCTGTGTTAAGTTAGAAAAGTTCAAATTTATTACCTACATAACATGGGGTGTGAGTAAAATGATCACCTCATAAGCAATTCTGCTTATTGGTTTCCATATAAGGCAGAGTTCAGTAGATGAGGATTTTAGCCTGTACGTTGGACCAGTCAGATTCCAGAGAATGAGAATAAGGTTCACATTTAACGGATCACATCATTGAGAGTTAACAGGCACATCCATTCAATCACTTTTCCACAAAGTGGAGACAATCTTTTAGTGATTAAAAAATTTGATTACAGCAAAATGTTGACAGAAAAATCAATCACATTCTCCGTAGTTTAAGATCAGTATGCAAAGCTTAAAGGCATATGCTACATACAAGTCATATAACCAATAAGTGTTACGGTATTGGGGGGATTAGTTTCATTTAGAAGCAACGCACAAAATCATGAATCACATACTGCATATAAACAAACCAGATAATAGTTATGGTCACTGACACCCCTGAGTTCATAACAGTTTTTACACTGAGATCTCATCTATTGCTGCATCCAATTTTACTAAACAAAATTGAAGGGGGAATTAACTTGAATTACAAAACTCTTTCTTCAGATGAAATAAAGCAGCTGTCAAGTAAGTATATCCAGGACAACTGGGTCATCAGCTGTTGTTAAAACTCTGAAGAAGTAGGTGCTAAAACTTGGCCTTTGCATTAGTTTTAAAGTGAGGGACCAGTTTCCAAAGAGATTGTTTATAAGAAAAATGAAAAGCACCGGTTTAAATATTTGTAAATGTAACACCTTTACATTTGTACATTTTCCCCCTAAATCACACTTTATCAATTTAGGAGAAAATGGAACCTAGAGAACAAGCAATATTGCAGGCATAGTTTCCCACATAGGTTACTATATGCCTGATAATTTTTTACTGCAATTGTATGTTAGCTTGTGTTCTTTTAAAAGCCCAATTTCTTTTCTTCAAAGTTCCATGAGTATTGTCACTATCCTCTGAATGAAAAAATAAGCCTCTTTGTCCTGGAGTTCCCTATAGTTGAAAGATGTTTCAGTGACCTAACCATTCACACAGTGAGTTACCTTGATGGCAGAGAGGTCAATTTTTTCTTCTTTGGGCTTGGCTGGGGCAGGTGCAGGTGCTGGGGCAGGGGCTGGGGCAGCAGCAGCAGGCTTCTTCACGTCTTTCTTTGGTGCCATTTTGTTTAAAAGGATGGGTTAAAAAAAAAAAAAAAGGAGGAGTTCCTCTAACAGAACCTGTCAAAATGATTCTTGGAAGAGAAGTGTTGGTTCGGTTGATCCACAGCCCAGTGTCTTGAAGGTAGACCCAGAGTTAAGCGGTATAAGGGCATGCATATATATTTCACTTAGTGCCTAATAGAATCTTGACACATGCGGCTGGATTGGACAGTTCACCAGTCGAGGGGGATGGCATTCCGTCTCAGACTATAAATGGAATCTTTGGGTCAGGGCTTCATCAATTTTTTTTAAGCTCCTTGGGCTTTTTTTTTTTCCCCACCTCCATGTGTAAAGAAGAAAGACACAGGACAAAGCCAGCTTCAGATTCTTTGGTGACGGTAGAGTGACACACTTTTTCTTGGTAGAATTACAGTTCTGCTGAAGTTGTAAATCTTTTCTTCCCCCATGCCTAGGGAACTTTACTGAAGGATTTGGTTTCAACTTGGAATTTTGGCAGGGAGTATCACCAATTTTCATCCAGCTCCTTGCTCCTCCCTCCTTGCCATATTTGCAAGAAAGTGTTGGTCAGCAAAGAGGAGGTAGTGTTTAAAAATAAAAAGCAGACGTATAAGGAAAGCCCATCAAGTCTTAAAGTGGCTTCCCTTCTAGGGATGCACACACTCTAGGTCTCTTTGTGTACTGAAGAAAGCTAATTTAACACTGCTTCCTATGATTTACTATTTTTTTTGTAGAATGCATGGAATAGTAACAGGATGGGAATGATAATAAGATTTACTTTACTGCTATAAAACAACTTCCCTGTTAACAATGTAGCCAAGATGATACTTGCCCTTTTTATTTTCTAAATGGCAAGGAGTCCAACTATTTATCATCTCATCTTTTATCCATATAAGGGAAGCAGGAAGAAGTTTTAGAGATAAGAAGAGAAAATGACTAATTATATATATTATGCAAATTTTTAGTCAGTTGGAAAACTTTTTTTTGCTTGTTTTTTCCTCCTTGTTTTCTTCAGTTTGCTAGGCTAGATCTGTGTGAAGAAGCAGTTGATAATCAATGAATGCTTTATAAATCCCAGAAAATGATGTTTCCATTGTGGTCAGGTATTGCTTGTTACCACTCTCACTTTCATTGATTCAACCTGTGAGATACTTAATTATTGAGTAGTTATTAACTAATGAAAGTAGTTTGAGATTTATTAGCAATAAATTATGTAAGCTTTAATTAATCTGTAATCAGTCTTCTTATAATTCATGTTAGCCTGATGTACTGATCTTTCTTTAAAGGTTTATTTACTTATTTGAAAGGCAGAATTACAGATAGAGAGAAGGAGAGACACAGCGCAAACTTCCATCTACTGGTTCAATCCGCAAACGGCTACAAAGGCTAGAGCTGGGTTGAGCTAAAGCCAGGAGCCAGGTGGTTTCTCAGAGTCTCCCACATGGATGCAAGTGTCCAAGGACTCTGGTCAGCCTCTGCTGCATTACCATACCAGGCACATTATCAAGAAATGTACTTGAAAATGCAGCAGCTAAAACTCTAACTGTTGCCCAAAGGCTTAACTAGGCACAGCACCAGCCCCAATGTACTGATTTTATATTACATGTAAGGTTCAGAAATAAAAGTTTCTATTAGCCTCTTCTCCCATGTTCCCTATGCTAAGGCCCTAATTTAGTTGGAAATATTAATTTCTTAGATATGACAGTCTTAACAATTTGAACACATTTTACACTATGAGTATTGTCTCATTTTAATAATTATGTAATGTTTAAAAATAAATCCATATTTGTAGTAGAAATATTGTTTTCATAAATAGCAGAAATTTGTCTGCCAGTTTGCTTCCATTTGGATTTTCAAAGAATGGAAGAGATTTGGGTTCTCCACAATTATTGAGCAATGGATATTACCTTATTTTAATTTATAGCCTACATTAATATTTCATTCCATGGGCAGAAATCCTTTAAAATCTATGATAAGGTTAAAAAGCAAAGGAATTTTTGTTGTGAGGAAAAACAATTTGGTTTTCCTTGCAGTCAGAAGAGAGATCAAAATGATACCAAATATATTAACCTATGTGATTAGGTTTTATTAATGCACTCATCAAAAATTTGTATCCGTTAGTAATATCAATAATAAAAATGAATAATTTTGATCTTACAGGCTGAAATGGTTGGGGCCAGCATACTGTGGTATATCAGGCTCATCTTTGCTTATAGTGCCAGCATCCCATACAGGTGCTGGTTTGAATCTTGCCTGCTGTATTTGTAATCCATCTTCCTGCAAATGCACCTTGGAAAACAGCAAGGATGGTCCAAGTGCTCCTGTACCAAGGGGAGACCTGGAAGACTAGCTGATTCCCAGCTTCCAACTGGCCCAGCTGCAGGCATTGTGTCCATTATATGGGAAGTGAATCAGTAGAGAGAAGGTCTGTGTGTGTGCGTGTGTGTGTTTCTTCTCTCATGCTCTCTGGAATTCTGACTCAAGTTAAATAAATCTTAAATTAAATGCTAAGAACAAAGAACAAGGACAATTTTGTACTTCATTTTCTATAAGGAAGAATGTTCTCCCTGTATAGCTAAATCCCCTTGTGTAACCAAATATATAATATAACTTTACTAAATTTACAGAATTTTCCTCTTGAAAAGTAGAAATGATGAAGTACCATTGTTATCATTTCAAGGGCACATGTGTTCACTCTGACTTCACTGATGTAATTAACCTTGATCATAACTCAGTCTAATAGTGACAAAAAAAGACGCAAATTGAGGTAGAAGTTCTCAAATTTATCATAGTGATCAGAAGTAAGTAAAGCCTGAGAAGTTCTCAAAGCATAAAGAAGCTCAAGGAAACATATTGAGTATATGGAATGTGATATTCTGGATGGAATCTTGAATAAAACAGACATCAAGTAGAGACCAAGTATTGAGTATCGTCTTTAGTTATTAACAGTCAACAATGACAAGTGTGCCATACTAATAACAGATGTTAACACTAGAAGAACTTAGTATATGTACATGAAACCGCTAGAAAAATCTCATGGTTTATTTTTTGTTGTTAACATGAAAGCATTTTAGAAGAAAAAAAATTAGAAGAAAATCAAGAAAAAAACAAAAGAGACTAATTCAGCCTAAAGCTTCGAAGGAAAGAGATGTGGGAATCTCTTTCCTACTTAATCAGCATTCTTTGTGGTTTTGATCAGGTGTATTAGAGAAGGAATTTAAACTTCTTCACAATTTGTGACACTGAGACCTTTATAAAATTGTTAGTTCCACTGGACACAATACATATATTTCACTTGGTTAGGCATTTCTATTGCGACAGAAATTATATGTGGTGAAAAACTGTAGAGTTTTTCTGAAGCTAATCATAAATAATGTAGTATCATGATCAGAATGAAAAATGGATTTCTATGTGCAGTACCTCCTCCTTTTTATGGGGTGGTGGGACAAGACTTGTTTAAGAGGGGAAAAACGGTAACAGCTGAGGATTTATGTTCTTGGTGACAGCTGACATACTTTGTGCCCAGATTTTCCAAGTTTCCCTCATGCTTCACTGTGCCATGTTTTTTTTAGATACTTACCAAGTGAAACGGAATGGTACTAAAGGTGGCTTGTCATATTCTGTTTTCTCATTCCATTGTGTTTCCTGTTATCAAATGGTCTAGATTGCCATGCAGTAATCTGTTTCTTATGTAACATATGTTGTAAGGATCCCTTCGACTAAGATGAGGTATATATTTTTACTCAGAAATATTGCTGTTGGGAAATGAAGCAAGCAATGGTCCCCCTTCACCTCCCTGATTCATAAAACAGCTTAATGTGGTTGTTCATCAATTTGGTAAGCATGGTGATTTGCTTATTCTAGTCAACTGCTATATACTAGAAAAATGCATGCTGGGCCGTTACTACTAGATTCTGGGTGCTAGTGTGCACCCTGTGTGAGTCCTGGTTATTTTGGCTTCAGAGAGCTTTAACCACAAGTCAGAGGAACGGGTAAGGTAAAATACATTGTGTTTTTTTGCCCTATGTATTTTGCTTTTAGAAAAGTTTCATTAACTTTTTGTTTACTGTTTTCTTTTTCCATCACTGGATTACTCCTAAAATGCCTGCAATAGCCATGCCTGGGCTACTTAGTACAATGTCATATGCCTGGAGCTCAATGCAGATCTCCCATCTAGATGTCAGGGACTGAATTACTTGGGTCCTATTGCCTCCTAGGCTGCACATTAGCGTAAAGATGGATCAGGACTCAAACCCACAGCCTCAGTATGGGATGTGGACCACACAAGGTCTGCCTTCTTTCCTTCTTCCTTCCTCTTTCCTCTTCTTGTTTGCTTAGCTCTGATTAAATTTGATTTTCTCCTCTTTTTTTTCCTTCTTCCTTTCCATTCCGTTCCTTTCTTTTTTTTCTTTAAGATTTATTTATTTTTATTGGAAAGGTGGATATACAGAGGAGGAGAGACAGAGAGGAAGATTTTCCGTCTGATGGTTCACTCCCCAAGTGGCTGAATGCCTGGAGCTGAGCTAATCTGAAGCCAGGAGCTCTTCCGGGTCATCCACACAGGTGCAGGGTCCCAAGGCTTTGGGCCGTCCTCGACTGCCCTCCCAGGCCACAGGCAGGGAGCTGGCTGGGAAGCGATTCCGCCAGGATTAGAACTGGCGCCCACAAGGGATCCAGGCATGTGCAAGGCGAGGACCTTAACCACTTCACTCTCTCGCCAGGCCTTCCCTTCCTTTCTTTCTCTCTCCTTCCTACCTTCCTTCCTGTCTCTTTCTTTCTTTCCTTCTCTTTTCTTGCTCTTTTCTTTCTTTCACTCTCTCACTCTCCCTCCTTCTTTCCTCTTTTTATTTCTTTCTCTCTCTTTTCATTCATTTTTTTCTTTTCTTCTTACTCTTCTTTCTTCCTCTTTCTCACTCTTCTTTCTTTTTCTTTTTTCTGTTTCTCTCATTTATTTCTCTTTCTTTTTTCTTTCTTTCTTTTTTCCTTTCCTACCTCCCTCCCTTCTTTCCTTCCTTCCTCTCTCTCTCTCTCTCTTTTAAAGTCAGAGTTAACGAGAGAGAGAGAGGGAGAGAGAATCTCATCCACTGGTTTAGCTCCGGAGATGGCCGCAGTGGGCATCACAGACAGGGATGCTTCATCTCCCACGTGAGTGGCAGGAGCC